AACACAGCTACCCAACCTGAATTTAAACCAACAAGAATTTTAACCTTCCAGGACATTCAGTTCCTGACGTAAGAGTAGCAGTTCTCTTACAAACGACTTTCAAAGGGAGCTAAAGAGACTGCTGAACTGCAACTGTTAATGGAGCTCAACACAACATATCCTCCTGGACCAAATCAAGACCTAGGTTTCCTGTCTCATTACCAATGCTGATTTCTCCACACCTACTACCCCTCTGCACATCACACCTGCTATTGTAATTCACCTGCTATTGTCACTTGGCATCTGAAATCACTCCACTCACCAATTAAAAGGACAGATGGACTCACATTCTAGCTATATCAGAATTGAGCAGTGACTCAAGAATGCTCATACCCTGCCACAAATTTTGTTAGTCTTTAAAGGTGCTACTGGACTCTTCCTCCTTTCTACTGCTACAGACAAACACAGCTACCCGTCTTAAACAAACAAACATCCTCCCTTCTTAACTTTGCAGGAAAATGCTATTTTAAAAGCATCCAAAACGGTCATTTTTGTGTGTGAAGAACATGGATTAAAGCCCCAAGAAATATAATCTCAGTAAACTATTGGAGTGAAGTCCTAGACACCCTCACTTAAGCTCCATTGAACTTGAGAGGATTAGAATTACTCTATGCATAGGTTTCACAGCCCAGAAAATGAGACTAAAGTTTTAGCATGTTCAAAGGGGAGGGACACCAGATTAACTGGAAAACCTTGAGGACTAGCGCCTCCTTCTGGGATTGCCAATCTTCCCCTCCTAAAATCATTTCCCCACCCCACAGATCAGAGGCCTCAAAAAAGAGATGTAGGGGGGAAATATACAAGATGACCCCCCACAACAGAAGCTAGCAGAAAGAAAACACAAAGCAGATCTCTTTTACATGGAAGATTCCCTTAAACTGGAAAATCCTTTCTGATTGTCTGATTATCTGCAGCAGGCCCTGAATGTATTTAAAGAAACGAGAGGCTGTTCTATTTTTATTAGGCATGTTAGAAAATTTTAAAAGAACAGCACAGGTTCTATATTTATATTACAACCTGGATTTGATGGGTGGTTGACAGCCACGGCTGAGAAATTAAGTGTTACGGGGAAGCTAAAATCCTCTCCCAGGACTCTCTGAACCGCCCTCTCCTCCAGAAAGAAATCAATTGCCATCTCAGTCCCATTTGAGACCTGTAGAAGTGAGTGGTATGCCAGTGTTCCCTCTAAGCTGAGTTAGTGTGAGCTATCTTACAGTTTTTGAGCCTCCGGCTCACACATCATTGTCTCAGCTCAGGAAGGATGGCTCCAGGGCAAACTAATTTAAGCAGTAACCAAATCCCTCGCTCACAACTTTAATGCCAGTAGCTCGCAAAGGAGAATTTTTGCTCACAAGATGCCACAGCTTAGAGGGAGCGTTCTGAAGAAGTGGGCATGCACACAAAAGCTTATACCTTGAATAAAATGTTATTGGTCTTAAAGGTGCCACTGGACTCAAACTTTTTTCCATTTGAAACCTGATTTAGATGCAGTACTTGGGCCAAAATACTGATAACGTCCTGCAGCCGGCTGAGCTGGGGCTAAAAAAGTTCCAAAGGTGCTAGTCCTCTTGACTTCTGTCTCCATCGTCATTGTAAAAATAATACATAAATCATTTTTAAAATGACTGATGGGGGGGAGGTCACTGAAATACTGTTGCATAGTCAAGATGGAAGTTATCTCTTTGCCTGCCTGTGAGCACTTCCTCTCCCCCAAGATGAAGTCAGGCCAAATTCCTGCCCCCATTCCACAATTTGATCCCCCAACTTCCCTTCCCATTTGCTTGCTATGAAAGTTATGAAGACGCCCCCAAAAGTCCTTATAAGATGCGGAAGAGACGAGGAAAAGAGAAGAGTAAAGGCTGAAAGACTCTGAATTGTGCCTTTGAGAACTGTGAATGGGGATGACTGTTCTTAGACAGTTAAGTTTTAAGAGTTAATGAAAAGGAAAAAGTACTTAAATGTCTGACTCAGTTTATATTAATCTAAATGAACTTGATGTAATGAAGCTAGTGAGGATCTCCTCTCTTGGGTTTTTAGTCAGTAGTGGGTTTCTATACTTTGTCCCGTATATGTAGTCCCCCTTCCCCTTTTCTGTGATAGTTTTTATAGTTTGAAAAATAATAATAAAAAATCTCTTCCGGGGGCTCAAAAAAAGAAAAAAAGAACGAAAGTTATGAAGACATGCTCTGACGAGGCAGCATGGAAGAGATGCCAAGCCAGCAAGTCTTTTCTGGCTGAGTGCGTGTACCTAACAAGGAAGCTTGTCTCATTAACATTAACAACAATAAAAAATTAGCATGCATGAAGCAACTGTTCTTTCATGGAGAGCACTGGTTGGACTGACCTGCTGGAAAGGATTACTAAAATACTGTCCATACACTGGAAATGGGCTATATTACGCACATGCTGCCTTATACTGAATCCATCAAAGTTAGCATTGTCTACTCAAGACTGGCAGCGGCTCTCCAAGGTCTCAGGCAAAGGTCTTTCACATCACCCACTGCCAGATCCTTTAACTGGATAGGTGGGAATCAATGCTCCCTCTAAGCTGTGGAGTCTAGTGAGCAAAAATTCTACTTTGTGAGCTACTGGCATTAACCTAGCATGTAGTACCGCCTGCATTCTGACTAACTGGGATTTGATCTGGCAGACTGGGTTAATGTGACATCTGGTTTGAGTTCATCCACAAGTTTAGCATAAGTTTAGAACAATGGAGAAGTCTATCAGTAGTTCCTAGCCATGGTGACTGAGGGGAACCTCCACATTCGGAGACACTAATCCTCCGAATCCCAGAACCAGGAGGCAAGATCAGGGATTGTAAAGCCACTCTGAGACTCCTTTGGATAGTGAGGGGGCAGGGCATAAACCCACTCTTTTCTTCTTGTGGGTCTCGAAGAGGCGACTGGACTTGAATCCAATCAAATGCCAGGGTAAAGTTCGGGTCCAGTAGCACCTTTACGACCAACTAAGTTTTATTCTGGGTATAAGCTTTCATGTGCACATGCACACTTCTTCAGATACATTGGAACAGAAGTCACCAACCATTACGTATAGACAGCAGGAGAGGAGGATGAATGCTAGAGTGGCTGTTTGCCAGGGTTCTGATCATTATTTGTTAGAGATCCCAAGCCTTCTCATTTTCTTGAGATCATCTAAATTCTTAAATGGGTATCCCGCTTTCTGACCCATTAACAGGACTCAAAAGCAGCATTTGGGGGGCAGGATATGACGGCTGGTTGAAACTGAGTTATAAGACCTATGCTGCACATGATAACCTTTTGAGGGATTCCAGTGAATCTGTAGAATTTTCCAAGTTGTGGAAGTTAAGACATGGCCTAGCCCAGTGATGGCGAACCTTTTAGAGACCGAGTGCCCAAACTGCGACCCAAAGCCCACTTATTTATTGCAAAGTGCCAACACGGCAATTTAACCTGAATACTGAGGTTTTACTTTAGAAAAAAACAACTCATACATTAACTTAAGGTGATCCAAACAAAGTAAGGAAAGCAATCCCAAATGCTTCATTTACTTAAAATTATTTGGCAGAGAATTCGACACTTTAATGATGGTCTGGGCCTGGCTGGGGCGATGGCACGTGTGCCCACAGAGAGGGCTCTGAGTGCCACCTCTGGCACCCATGCCATAGGTTCGCCACCACTGGCCTACCCTGTGGAAAACTGAGGCTAGAGGGTTGTTGTTCCCCCGCCAAGAAAAAGTCCACAAGAATTTAACATGGTCTGAGAGGCAACAGGACTTCTAGTGTGCATCTTTGTCGCATGACACATTTGACACATTTTTGGCAGAGCTTCAAAAAAAAAAAAAAAAAGCACAAAACCCTGCCATGCCTGTGACTAGAAACAATACTAACTGAAAGGCATGGACAATATAACCTCTATCATATCAAAAGGGGGTAGAAAGATTCACGGAGGATTGTTCCATCAGTGGCTACTACTAAAGGGAACCGAGAACAAAGTCCGAGTCCAGTGTCAAAGACCACCAATCTTTAATTCTGGGTTTAAGCTTGAAGACGTGTGCGTGCACACAAGAGCTTATACCCAGAATTGGACTTTGTTGGTCTTAAAGGTGACATTGGGCTCAAACTTTGTTCTGTTGCTTCAGACCAACATGGCAACCCACCCGGATCTATCTTCACGGAAGGTGCCACATTAAGCCACATAAAGGCAGGGCTATTTTTGGGCAGGAACGCACAGGAACGGAGTTTCGGCTGGCTCCTGAGTAGGCCACACCCAGCATGAACTTATTAGCATAATAGGCCACACCCAACAGCAGGAACTCATTAGAATTGGCTACATTAGAGGTGTGTGGTCTAACATGCAAAGGGGTTCCTGCTACAAAAAAAGCCCTGGGTTTTGACAACAAACAAGGTAAACAGAATAAGAAGGGAAAGGTGGGTGTGGCTGGATGAGTGCACTTCTGGTAACACAGGGGTGTGGCCTTATATGCTAATGAGATGTGATGTCAGGGGTGTGGCCTAATATGCTAATATGTTTCTGTTGTTGGGTGTGGCCAATTATGCTAATGAGTTCCTGCTGGGGTTTTTCTACAAAAAGAGCCCTGCTAAGCTGAGTTAGTGTGAGCTAGCTCACAGTTTTTTAGCCTCCAGCTCACAGATTTTTGTCTTCGCTCAGGAAGGATGGCTCCAGAGCAAACTAACTGATGCAGTAGCCAAATTGCTCACTCACAACTTTAATGCCAGTAGCTCACCAAGTAGATTTTTTTTCTCACAAGACTCCACAGCTTAGAGGAAGCATTGCTGGCCACTGTCTGAGATGGGACCCTGGAAATGATGGACCAATGATCTGGCCCACCATGGCTCTTCTTACATTGTTTATCTCGGAAGCACTGAAAACCCAGGGGTCATTCTCTAGCCTAGGATCCCTGATAGGTTACAATAAAGAAAGAAGCTGGAATAACTTCTGTCGAGGAGGACCAGTACATACCAAATGTGGATCTCCTGCCAGGCAAGGTCCCCTGCCGCGTCTGGAGGCTGTGCAAGACGCTGCTTTCAAAGTGCCCCGCAGTCCAAGATGGTGGCATCTCCGCAGGGCTGACATAGGCGCCAGGGTAAGCACTGGAATAGGATCCATTGACGGAGCGCACCAGGGCGTTGCCGTATTGGTCACGACCGCCAGCACCTAGTAGCAGCGGGCTCTGGTAACCCCCATCCCGTCCAGTGTTGCCACCGACCGGGGGACTGTGCGAGTAGGAAAAGCTCGACGGTGGATGAGGGCTGTTGGCATTGAAGTGGGATGTGTCGGCTCCGGCTGCCTGGGCCCAGCCCGGGTGGCTGCTCAGGGGGTGGCTCTGGTGGGCAGGTTCACAACTCTGCAGGTAAGGCAGGCTCGGCAGCATGGAGGGCACCCGGCTGGTGGGCACATAGACAGCCGGACTGGGCGGCGAATGCAGGAAGTTGCTTGAGTCATGGGAGTACGCCGACTGGCCGTGGTTAGGGGCAAGAGCTAGACTCTGGTACATTTTATATCCTTCGAAACAGGGGATGATGGGGTGAAGCCGCAGCTGCTGGGGTGCGATCAGGGTGAGTCCAGGAAGCGGGACATTGAGAGCTCAGCGGGTTCTCGGGAGCGGTTGCACTGAAGGCCACTTTCAAGCACCTGAAAACAGGAGAGCAGAGAAATAAGGTTCTGAGCTAGAGGGGTCCTTCTCCAAATGGTATGTCCCTTGTCCATAAAACTTGGAAGAAGAAGAACATGCCATTGAGTCACAACTGATTCATGGTGCCCCCAGCCATAGGGTGTTCAACGCAAGAGATGTTCAGAGGTGGTTCTCCATTGCCTGCCTCTATATCTCCTTGGTGGTCTTCCATCCAAGTACTAACCAAGGCCAATTCTGCTTAGCTTCCAAGAACTGACCTGAAAAGAGGGTCACAGATAGGAGGAGTAGCAGTAGGTTTGAAGACTGGCTCCCTTTTTAATGCAGCCAGCTTCTATCTGCTCTGCCCCATGCTTTTCCTGGTAGGCGATCAAGCAATTGAAAATATTCTCCTAGCTTAATTTTTCATGCAAAAACAAGTAGAGGCACCAGCACCAATGCTGTTTGGATGTCATGATCCATAACATTTCCCACCCTTCTTTCGAGGAACTCAGGAGTCATCCCATTTTATCTCCCTAACAACCCTGTGAGGTAGGTTAACTTGAGATTGGGTTAAACCCAACCACTCAGCTTCATGACTAAGGACAGCTTTGAAGACAGACCTGCTCAGTTCCCAATCCAGGTCTGGCGATCTTCTTTCCACAACGCCGCACTGTCTCTCATACAAACTCCTTCTGGTAAGAAGACAAAGAAAACCCAAGACATTCCCAAACTTTACTCCCTTGTAAAGTACATGTTCTTGGAAGCATGCTACACTGGCTTTTAAGGAGATCTGATAATTTTGGCATCAGTTCCTCTTGAATTATTTTATTACTCATTTTATTCTCTATTATGAGGGACCGTGGTCTATACTACGGAGTACAGTTTGCTGAAACGAGGATCCTATGGAATTTTGCATCATTTAATGTGTCACAATAAGACTTATGCTTTGCTTCAGTTTTGTTTTCAGACTTCTGGTTGGTTCTACAGCTTCAGTCCTATCCAGGGGTCATTTCATAGAAAAAGAGGTGCAGGTGCTCATTAGCATAACTCATTTGCATATGCCACGCCCCCTGACATCACCGGAAGTGTGTCAGAAGGCAACACCCACCGCTCAGGCTCCACTGGACTATTTTGGATTGCTAGTTAGGGGGGGGGGACGCAGATCTGCCCTAGCAGAGGAGGGAGAGCTTGTACCTGAATAAAACTTGGTCTTAAAGGTGCCCCGGAAGGAAAGAAGGAGGGAAAGAAAGAGGCTTTTTCCTCCTTGTGGCCTGGGGCTACTGGGAGCATGGAGTGGGGCTTGTTGCAAGTGCTCGCCCCCTGGGCTCTTTACTGCTGGAGCTCCGCTCCTGTGCGCTCCTGCAGGAAATGACCCCTGGTGACATCCAAAACACCCCGGGAAAGAGGGAAAGAAAGAGGCTTTTTCCTCCTTGTGGCCTGGGGCTACTGGGAGCATGGAGTGGGGCTTGTTGCAAGTGCTCGCCCCCTGGGCTCTTTACTGCTGGAGCTCCGCTCCTGTGCGCTCCTGCAGGAAATGACCCCTGGTGACATCCAAAACACCCCCCACTCCCAACGATAGCCTATTTACATTACATTGTTTCTCAGTTGGTTTACTCTAGGATCCTCGTTTCCCTACTGGTCCATTCTAGGATCCTAGCACGCTATTGTTTTTCATCCCCAAGCTACATCCATTGGTAAGCACAGTTCAGGCTCAGTACATAACACGTCCCCTTCTTCTTTGACCTTCAATCTTTCCCAGCACCAGGGTCTTCTCCAGTGAGTGCTCCCTTCTCATTTTGTGGCCAAAGTATTTGGGCTTCGCCTTCAGTATCTGGCCTCTAGGCTACTGTGATTAAATGACTACGGGGAAACAGGTTGAAACTGAATCCTGGCAAGACAGCGGCAATGCTGGTGCGGGAACGTGCAGATCTGTCCTTACAGAGGAGGGAGAGCTTGTACCTGAATAAAACTTGGTCTTAAAGGTGCCACTGGACTGTTTTGGGCTGGGGAGCCCGGGGGGGGGGGCTCTGCAACTTACCAGGCTGCTTCTTGCTCTGATTGAGGGCTGCTGGGAGCAGAGGGTGGGGCTTGTTGCATGTGCCCGCCCCCTGGGCTCTTTACTGCCGGAGCTCCGCTTCTGTGCGCTCCTGCAGGAAATGACCCCTGGCCCTATCCCATTGTTTATTGAATGTCCCCTCTTGTTGACTGTATTGCCTCACTCTGTGTAACCCGCCTTGAGTCCAAGTGAGAAAGATGGACTCTAAATTGTGTAAATAAATACAGTTCATCACTAAGCACACCAGGGCTGCGTTCCAGGGTTATAGGCACAGCTACAACTGCAAGTAGAACAAAGAACATTCCTGCAATTCTGCACCATTAAAAAGACAAACAAGCTTCCTATGGAAATTAGCAGAATCCACATAGATTGTCCCTAGCAGTCCAGTTTTACACAGGATTATCCAGAAGTCTCAGAGAATCAGGGAAATCAGAAAAGCGGAGGATCAGTCAGTCTGATAAACCCACAACAGTTAAAAGCCTAAAAGATTTATTGCGGGGGGGTCAGATTGTTGTCTCTGCCGCAATAGAGCCAAACTCCTCTGGAATATGTCACCAAGTTTCCTGGCGGGGGTACCTCCTCCAAAACACACACTGGATCACAGCGGAAAGCCTGGGACTTTAGAAACACACTTCTCTGAAAAGAAGGACCATGCAGCAGGACTTAATTCCAAGGGAGCGTCCTTGGGACACCAAGGTTGAATTGGTTTGTTTTTTTAAAAAGGATATGCGACTCCAAAATCCAGTGATTTGGGAAGTAGCTCTAGTGGGCCCCTGTTAAGGGGAGGGAAACATTATTTGGGTTTTTAAACATGTTTGCTATAACTCAGGCAGAACCCGCAGGATAGAACAGAGCTAGGGCATACATTCATAATACAATATGCCAGTGTGGTGTAGTAAGAGTGTCCAAATAGGACGGGGAGGGGGCAGGTTCGAATCCTGACTTGTGCCATGGAAACTCAGTGGGTGATCTTGGGCCAGTCACGCTCTCTGAGCCTCACAGCATTGTTGTGGGGATAAAATGGAAGAGAGGGGAACCATGTAAGCCACTTTGTGTCCCCACTGGGGTGCAGATGAACTCAATAAAGAAATAAATTTAGTCTCCATCCCAATACAGTTAGGACTTGCACAGAGGAACGCTTTACACACCACCGAAATACACTGCCCAGGATGCAGTGGATAATAGTCATTGTCTTAGTTAGACCCATGTTTTTAAAAAAGACTGGGCACATTCAAGGAAGGTAGGGACCTCAGTGGTGATTGGCCACCAGAGGGAAATGGAACCCCCAGTTCTAGAAGCTGTGTACTTCTGAAGCATAGGCGTAATCTTCGTGGGGGCGGCGGGGCATTAGCCCCCGCCGAAATTTTCAGGAAGGTGCTCAGCCTCCCCCGGGAGCCACCCTTGCTCCTAGCAAAGCAATGCCTCTGGCCCAGCCCCAGCCCCCCCCCCCGAAATTGGAAAGTCTACACCCTTGCTCTGAAGGAAAAGGAAAGAGTAGGAGCAGGGCTAGAAAATCCCTTTCAGTTACGGTAGAGGTAACCAGAGCCCAATAAAATTCTGGAACAACCCATAATTCTTATGGTTTCTGTTTGGTTAGTGCAGATATACTCAAGCCGGGTTTTATTTTGTTTATTATTTATTTATTCATCCAATTTATACCCCGCCCTCCTCCCGGAAGCAGGTTCAGGAAGGCGGATTGGCTGTCCAACCGAAATTCGTTTAAAGACGAAATTCGTTTAGCCATCCGCACCTCTGCAGCGTTAAGGCAAAGAGTAACCCACATTTGGAAGCGGAGGGCCGGGCTGCCGGTTAATCCGAAACTCCGGACAACCTTCCCCATTTCGACGGATGAAAAGGCTCTGAATTTTAACCGAGTAAGGGGGCAAATGAAGCATGAAGGCCGCCTGCCCTCGGTGGATCGGGTCGCAGTCCCAAAACGTGGGAAGGCCGTTTCCTCGCAGGTAGACGCGCTCTGGAATCGCGACCGAAAAAGCATTGGAAACTGTCCGGCACCAAATTACAATTTTTTTAAATATTGAGCCTAGGACTACTCACGGCCCGATCCTAGGTATGTCTACGCGGCAGTAATAAGTAACCTAAATGTCCCGAGGGGCCTGCGATCCCTAACGTACTTACTAGGAAGTAAACGCTTTGAACTCGTGGTCTTTGTTCCGAAGTAATTGGGTGAGCATAGAAGGAAAAGCAAACTGAAAGAGGAAACTGAGCTTCGCCTTTCCCCTTTACAATATGCAGGAAGTTTTCTCCTGCGGTCCTTCAGACGATTCGGATCTCCAAAGAAGCGCATTTCCGAGATCTCCCCTTAAATAATAACCTTCTGTTTTCGATAGAACCCGGAAACGGGCGGTCAAGTCAGACCACCAAGAACAAAAACTTCCAAACCCCCCCCCCCCCCCAAGCCGGTCCAAGCCACCCTCCGACAGAAACATAGCCAAAGCCGACGTGGATAGTGAAGACCCGGGTTCGAATCCCGCTCAGCCTTGGACCGCTCACCCCCTTTCGGGTGTAGCCTATCCCAGCGGGTTGTTTGAAGGACTATTGGAGCCGGGGGGAAAGAAGACCAGAGGCTACGAGGTCCTTGGTGGAAATTCGGGATGACAAACTTATTCCTCAAGACCGATGCAGACGTATTTCGTTTTTTTAAAAAAGGCACTCGAAATGGCAAAGTCACCAAGAAGAGATCAGTCTCAGGCCGCCCTGAAGGAGGGATTCAAACGGAGTCGCGATCTATAATCCTGCAAGAAAGACTCGTTCCACGAAACGTTTGACTTCGGGCTGCATTTAAAGGCGTTCGCTTCGGTCTCTCGAG